CAATACCTGTCCCATGCAGAAGGATGTGTTCTGATGCACACCCACTCATCCCTAGTTTTCAGGTGCCTTATTTTGACATCAAATATGATATGGAACCCTTCCATTGGTCTCCTTTTATAATGTCAGTCTTTGCATGTATACACACTTGTAACATCATGGCCTTCTGTAACCAATCACAACCCAGTATAGGGTATCTATACTTCCTGGTTGTCCTTGTTTCCTTACTCGGTTGTGTTTCTTGTTACTTGAGAGTGCTTCTATACTGTGTATTGGATTTACTGTTTTCTGACAACAGTTTGTTTGATCATTGTTGTTCTCTGTTATCCTGACTTTGGCTTAACTATTGATTCTGTGTATCTCTGTTATCCTAGCCTGTTTCTCATTTACTCTCTGGAAAAAACTAGTTACGGCGCACTCAGACTTCTAAAAATTCATAACTAAGAAGGCTACTATAAAACGCCTAACTAAGAGAATAAATATAGGCCCAGGCCCCCCAGCTTCTGAGGCCTCTTTAGAGGTGGCCACAGGTGTGTGTATAAGTAGGAGGAGTTTTATAGTCATGTCACTTTTATTATTTTCTTTATGCAGCACAGATATTATCTGCAAATGTGAGTATACTCATTCAAGCACCAACACTTTAATTGTTTAGTTGTTACACTGTTTTTAATTGCTTTTATCACTCTTTATTTGTATTCTCACTTTGCTCTTACAAAGAAATTAATTCAATACACTGTAGCTTGTTTTTAGCACCAGTACTATTTAATTTGTCTCCCACATTTTGTAATTAGCGTAGGAACCAATGACATTGGGGTACTTTGAAGCAGTGGCTTAACATCATATGGCCATACGGTGGAACTAAATCCCCACATTTATTCTCTTAGATAGGCATTTTATAGTAGCCTTCTTAGTTATGATTTTTTAGAAGTCTGAGTGTGCCGTAACTAGTTTTTTCTGTATGAATTTTGGTCACTGTGGCAGCACCTTTCTTGCATAATGCATCTCTCGGGTGTGCCCCCAATCTCTTCTCTCTCATTTACTCTCTGTCTGCTTTCATTCATCTTTAATAGTCACTAGCGTGGCCGTTCTAAGGACCGCTACGTGTTCCTTTACTGTTTCCTTTAGATTAACGTGTTGGGGTATCTTTATTCCTGACACTATGACACTGTTGGTCATGCTCTCCTTCTCCCAACTTTTCACATCCTTGGCTTTTGTGACACTGTCCTCTCTAGTTTCTTGTCATCTTTCCTTTTCTGGTAATGCCTAATCCTCCCCTCATTCTCTCTCAGTTAAAGTATCCCAAGGTTCTGTCCTTGTCTTCTCCTGTTTTCTCTCTATTAAGCCTCTTTTGGAAAACTCATTATAATTTTGGATTCCACTACCATCTGTATGCCTATAACACCTAGATATACCTGTATTCCCCTGATCTCTTTCCCACTATCTTAGAACAAGTCTCCAGTTTCCTCTCTTTCTTTCTCTGACTGGACATCCGTTCCACTTTTAAAACTCAATCTGTCAGTGACTTCATCAGACTCTCCCCTACTCTTCAAGCCTTTAAGTCGTCCCTAAAATCCCGCCTCTTCAGAAGAGCCGATGGGCTTCCAGGCTACCTGTCATAACTCTCTCTTTACTCTCTAAACTTACTGGGTCCATTTTCCACTTCACATCCACCTTCCAATTCTGCTACTTTCCAACATGGTTACTAGGTTTCATTCCCTCACACTGTCATTCCTAATGTGTTTTTATACCCCAACTTCTCTAGATTGTAAGTTCTTCTGAGCAGGGTCCTCATTGACCTATTATTTCTGTCAAAATCTGTAATCATTGGTCTCATTTGTTGTTAAAGTCCCTTTAATAATATTATAAAGTGCTGGGGAATACATTGCTATATATATATGCCAATAATAATAGTAATATATCACATGGTTGACACATGTTTTCCAACATAAATAAGCACACCACTTCCACCTTTCTATAAAACTAAAATTATTCACCACCAATTAATTTGCTATATGTGGACTCTCCAATCTTATTAACTGTTACCTATGATCCTTGCACAGGTTATGGTGTAAGGAACTCCCTTTCTTCTATTAGCTTATTCATTATTGCAAAAAAAAATACATAAAAATGGTTGCAGGTAGAATCTCTCTGTGCCAGCTAAACTCTCTGTGCCAGCTATACCAACTCTGTGTTATGCTTCTTAGTGACAATTCAATATCTTGCATCATGGGTGCACAGCGCCAAGTCTAACTTGATTCCCTGGACATCCGTACTTGAAAACGAGAGAAATCTCAACGTATCCATCCTGGTAAAATATTTTATGAATAAATAAATACATTTGTGTGGGTTATACAGCTTGCACAGCAGCTTCATTCATGAAAGACCATGAGTAACTTTGAATATAAATACTATGAACTAACTTATTTAGCATAATACTTAAACATCTCTGAGACGATTGCATTTATCACTATACAACTTGTACCATCTTTAAAGGGACACTATAGTCACCAAAACAACTTTAACTTAATGAAGCAGTTTTAGTGTACAAATCATGACTGCAGTCTCACTGCTCAATTCTCTGCCAAGTAGGAGTCACTTTTGTTTCTGTTTATCCAGTCCTGGCCATACCTGCCCTGGCTATTACTCACAAAGCCTGTATGGAAAAAAAAAATGATTTCATTTTCAATTAGATGTAACTTTTTTTTTATCTCTTCTCTCTAAAATGAACTTTAATCACACACAGGAAGCTTGAGCAAAGTCTAACAGAGCAGGAGATACAAAATTATAAGTTAAACAGACTGTGCAATAAAAGAAGTTTAACCCCTTAAGGACGGAGCCAAATGTACACGTTGTGAACGAAACAAAATGTAAACAAAACCTGGCATTTGCGCTACATGTCTGTCCAACCGTAATACACCTCTTTCATAGTAAATGCACCCACCCTTATTATATATCATTTTATTCAGGGAAACAGGGCTTTCATTTAATATCAAATATTTAGCTATGAAACATAATTTAATATGAAAAAAATGGGAGAAAATAAGATTTTTTTAGTTCTACATGACATTTTAACGGTCAGTGTCATAATACTGTTTGCTTTTACTGCAATAAAATACACATATTTGTATTCAGCAAAGTCTCATGTGTAAAACAGTACCCCCTATGTACAGGTTTTATGGCGTTTTGGGAAGTTACAGGGTCAAATATAGCACGTTACATTTGAAATTGAAATTCGCCAGATTGGTTACGTTGCCTTTGAGACTGTATAGTAGCCCAGGAATGAAATTTACACCCATAATGGCATACCATTTGCAATAGTAGACAACCCAAGGTATTGCAAATGGGGTATGTCCAGTCTTTTTTAGTAGCCATTTGGTCACAAACACTGGCCAAAGTTAGCGTTAGTATTTGTTTGTGTGTGAAAAATGCAAAAAAACGCCAATTTTGGCCAGTGTTTGTGACTAAGTGGCTACTAAAAAAGACTGGACATACCCTGTTTGCAATACCTTGGGTTGTCTACTATTGCAAATGGTATGCCATCATAGGGGTAATTTTCATTCTTGGGCTACCATAGGGTCTCAAAGGCAACGTAACCAATCTGGCGAATTTTAATGTGAAAAAAATTAAACACAAGCCTTATATTTGACGCTGTAACTTTTGAAAACACCATAAAACCTGTACATGAGGGGTACTGTTGTACTCGGGAGACTTCGCTGAACACAAATATTTGTGTTTCAAAACAGTAAAAAGTATTGCAGCAATAATATCATCCGTGTAAGTGCTGTTTGTGCATGAAAAATGCAAAAAACTTCACTTTTACTGGCGATATCATTGTTGTAATACATTTTACTGTTTTGAAACACTAATATTTGTGTTCAGCGAAGTCTCCCGAGTAAAACAGTACCCCCAATTTACAGGTTTTATGGTGTCTTGGAAAGTTATAGGGTTAAATATAGTGCTAGCAAATTAAATTCCCTATACTTTCGGCATGGGTTGTCAGGCAGGTCCCGCTAATTGTAATTAATTAGGATACCTAATTATGTAAAAATATTACATAAATATATGTGTAGAATTAATATATGTATATATATACATATGTGTATATATACATATATATATATAATTTTTTAAAATATTTTTATTTATATATAGGTGTATATATTTAGTGATATATATGTATATATTTATGTATATAGATATATATATTATTTCGTTCTACATGTATTTTGATATAAATATATATATATTAATATCACAATACAGTTAGAACGAAATAACAAACATCTATATATTTTTTTATTATTTATTTTTAATTATTTTTTTAATTTAATTTTTTTTAGGTATTTAAATTTTTTTATATTATATATAAATATATATATATAACAATAATTATATATATATATATATATTTAATCAGTATTAGTCTACGTGTAATTTGATAGTAATATATATATAAATAATTATATATATTAATATTTAAATACACTTCGTGTATGTGTAAATGTGTGTGTGTGTGTATATATATATATATATATATATATATATATACTTAGATCATATATATATATAATATATATGATCTAAGGGGGGGCGGGGCCGGACCGCCGAGCTGGACGGTCGCACATGAGTTCAGCTCCTGCAATACACCCACAAATATGCTTAAAAATATGGAAAATTACCTAACTACTGACCGGCAGCAAGGGTCTTCAGAACCACGAAGTTACCGGATCCTGGGAGAGGCTGGCTACCGGAGCTACAGTCCCCAGGAGGTGAAGCCCGCAACGATCAAGTTGGGGCCTACGCCGGTGGTGAGAGGGACAGACGGCCGCTGCCCCACTATCCCGCCTAATGGTACGAAGCCGGAGATCAAGACCCGGGCGGTCCCGGCCCTGTCCCCCCCCCTCTGGACCGGCGGGGGTGATCCCAGTCCTCACCCAGAGGCTACACATCCAGGGTCCAGAGGTACTACCATCCCGCTCAAAGGCCTGAACACGACATCCAAGATGGCGGATGCCATGTGCGCTGGGGCCGGGGAGAGAGAGTGCGCCCTCGCAGGGAGTAGAGCAACAAACTGGGTCTCTGGACAAGAGCCCAAGGGGCCAGAAGAACTCAAGCTCCTCACACTAGACACCGCAACCCCACAAGCGACTACTTACCAGCCCACTACACGGAACTCGCCACAGGCGAACAGCGGAGGAGGCCTAGCCCAAGCCACAAGGGCAGCGGAACCAGCCCACACCGCACCCGACCTTCCACCGCCAGAGACTGCCAACCTCGCCACAGACCAAGGAACTCCCACAGCAAGGCCGACAACATTCATCGGCGGCCATAACAGCGGTCTCATCCAGCAACCAACTGTATCACACAGTGCCCAAACATCCGTCCTGACAGGCGCTCACCTCGGGAAGTCCAGAAGAGGTACCCATGGCCAGCCGGAGAAGCAGCCCAAAAGGTACCAACGAGCAACACAGCAACACTCCCGGAGGGGCGCTGCTCGAACCCCCGCACCAGAGAACACTCGTTCCCGGCCGCACGGACCCGCCGAGCCGAAAAGCCCTGGAACGCAAACCAACCCAAGAACTCTATTCCAGCCAGGGTGATATAATGTTCATACAAACATCATTTAACACTAGCATGTCTACATCTTAAGTTCTATAGTACAGCATACCGTTAAACTCACTAACAGCCTTTGGAAGCACCTATGTTAATTAGTGTCCCATCCCTAATGTTTAATCTAGGTTATTAGACAAGCCATTAGTTAAACGACTGAGTATTGCACTCCTCACATACCCATTCAATTATAATAGGCTTAGCATAACAAGCCACCTCAATGCCTATTTTGGACCAGTTAGCTGTGTAGCACTATTCAGACCAGCCATGCTGTTAGAATATGCATTTTATTAAGTTACTCGCACAAAACCCACTACGTTTCATTCAATGATGTTACTACCTGTCACTTTGGTAACTTACAACTCGATGTATGTTTATCTTCAAAAATACAAAAATGTGCCAATAACCCTATGCCATATATGTGAATAATCTTGCTTTAATGGGCTTGTACTATGCTGTTGTGGCATTGTCGGCTTTTATGTTTTCTTGTGCACAATAAAAATAAAGAATTTAAAAAAAAATATATATATGATCTAAGTATATTTTATATGTAACTGTAATTTTTTTTTTAACTAATATTTTATTTTTTTTACAGGAGAGGGGGCAGAGACAGTGTCAGCCAGTGATTTCACATCACTGGCTGACACACAGGATCAGTGATCACAGTGACTGCCTGTCACTGTGATCACCTCCTGCAGATTGGGTAATTGGCCACAGGGGGGAGTGCCTGGGTGGTACAAGCACTCCCCCCTTCCAATCTGCAGGGGGATCTGTGTGCCAGTTACATGTGTCAGCCAATAGGCTGACACATGTAACACTGATCGCAGTGACAGGCTGTCACTGCGATCAGAGCGCTCTGAGATCGCAGTGACAGCCTGTCACTGCGATCTCAGAGTTAGCAGATCGCGGTCACTGACCCCAGGGGGACTGCCTGGGGGGCCAGGTAAGTCCCCCGACCGCGATCTGCATGGGGTAGCCGCTGGCCACGTGTGTCAGCCGATTTGAAATCGGCTGACACACGTTAAAAACTGATCAAAGTGACAGCCTGTCACTGCGATCAGTGACTGCAGATCGCGGTCACCGGCCACAGGGGGCGTTGCCTGGGGGGCCGGGCATCCCCCCCGACCGCGATCTGCAGCGGGCGAATAGCGCCGGCCACACGGGCGGCCATTAAAGTGAGGGCGTACTATTACGCCCGACGGCGTTTAGAGCCGGCTCCTGCAGGGCGTAATAGTACGCCCTCCGTCCTTAAGGGGTTAAACATTAGCTCTCACTTTACAGGAAGTGTTTAGGGAGGCAGTGTAAGTCACATGCAGGGAGGTGTGGCAAGGGCTGCATAAATAAAATGATTTAACTCTTAAATGGCAGTGAATTGAACAGTGAGACTGAAGGGGCATTATCTATACACAAAAACTGCTTTATTAAGATAAAGTTGTTTTGGTGACTATAGTGTGCCTTCAAACATTTTATTAATATAGTCAGCGTGTAAGGTGGATTTAAAAATTAGGGTGCAATAAAAGAAGTTTAAACATTAGCTCTCACTTTACAGGAAGTGTTTAGGGAGGCAGTGTAAGTCACATGCAGGGAGGTGTGGCAAGGGCTGCATAAATAAAATGATTTAACTCTTAAATGGCAGTGAATTGAACAGTGAGACTGAAGGGGCATTATCTATACACAAAAACTGCTTTATTAAGATAAAGTTGTTTTGGTGACTATAGTGTGCCTTCAAACATATTATTAATATAGTCAGCGTGTAAGGTGGATTTAAAAATTAAAAAATGCATCTTTAAGTAGATTTGTTTTATAAAACTCCAGTTTCCATATTTCTATATGTTGAAATCCATCTGTCAGTCATCCTGCAGATTTTATAATTTTACCAGAACCCTTTAGGTCGCTTCCAATTACCATTTATTAATCCTTTCATTTGAAATGGAGTGGGTGCTAAGAAAACATTGTTGCAGTCAGGAGTAACAAGGAGAAGTTAAGATCAACCTAATAAGTCACCAAGGAACTGTTTAAAATCTGAAGAACCAGATCATTAAACCATACAACCCTGGCTAATCTCCACCAGTATAAACGTTCAGATTAACAGTGACGCTACAAAAACAATATTAGCATCTAAACAAGCATGGAAATCACTCCCCTTCTGGCACTGATTTGGTTAACTATAACATTTCTATAAAATTGTCCCAAAGGAAGTTAATGGTAGCAACAAGCAATGTTACAATAACCTATTCCTAATATCAGATCTTCAGGGCAAGCATTTGAAAGGGAAAAAAATTTTTACATCGTATGTGTTTGTATGTGTGTGTGTGAATATGTGTGTATGTGTTTATACTTTATTCGTGTGTATGTTAGTCTGAGGTGAAACAACTCTTTGTACACAGCATTTTAGAAGCCTTTTGAAGGCTATGAAGGAGTTAAACATTAAGCGTTATGGAGCACAGAGGAGAAACTCCACGCCTAATGATTTCGATAATTGCCTTCCCCTTTTTCCCCTCTCTCCCTGCCTCTTGTTCTTTTCATTTCTCTCCCTCTCTTGCCAGCTCCCTCTCTGTATTAGTTTTTCTCTCTCCCTTTCCATTTTTCTGCCCTCCATCTCCTGCTCTCAATTCTGTTCCCATCCCTCTTTCTCCTTATATCTCCCTCACTGATATGGCTCCATCTCATCTCTCCACTCTTTCTATTTCCCTATCCCTCCTCCCTTTTCTTTCTCACTCTCTCTGTTTTTTTTTTTTTCTTGGCGGATTTGCAATTTCCCTATAAAAGTGAGAATTCATTTCCAGGCTAATGCAGTGTCAGGCGGCTGTTTACTGAGCATGGATGATATATCGGGGACAGTGCATACAGAGGACTACTTAATGATGCATTGAATTAAATCCTGACTCCTCAGCTGAGCTTTGCGCCTCCCTCTAGTTCACAGGCTCTTGTCTTACTCCTCTCTCCCACAGCCTGTGCTTTCTACTCTCTCCCCATCTCACAGCTAGGGATGCTGGATGATGCTTTCATACAATACATTCCATGGAATGTCCAGGGGAATCCTGCAATGATAACAAGGATTTGCACTGGCGGAGGGGCCTGTAAGGCAAACTGATACTTTTTGACTGTTGTAAGGATAATACATATGTTCTACAAGATGAAGTGACACTCCCAATGAAAAAAAGGCACAGGAAAAAAAGTGATAATTATGTTTGAAAGGCATGGTATAATAATAATATAGGGACTTTCATACAAAGGGGGACTGATGGTGTTCAGTGAAAGATGATCACTTTGAGTGGGACAGGAGTGGGGCTACACAGTAGGGGTTTGGTGAAAGTCACTCACATTTAACGGAGCAGAAGGCACACTCACAATTACACATTTATTCAGAAGGATGCTGGAAATAAGAGAAATTAACTCTTATAGGGGTAAGAACAGACCTGCTAAAGAAAGTAGAAGGTGCTAGATGCAGGGCTGTCAAACGTTGTATTGGATGTAACCCAAGAGGCAGCAGATTGTGGTGGCAAAGGGGCAAAAAGAAAGTCCAAGGCAAAGAAATCCAAAGGAAAATCAGCTGGCAAAAGCAAAGCTTAACACACCCATTGTTCCATGATCACAAACCCATTCATTACCTCTGTGGCAATCCCAAATCTCATTCCTCCATCTCAGCACCCATTCTCGAGAGACAGAAAAGCATACAAATGAAGAAAAAAGAGAAAAGAAAACTATAATCAAACCAAAATGAAAACCATTATAGACAGATATAGCATCAATATAGATTTGCAGATCCCCAAAAAATAATGGCTAAGTTGATGGGTTGGGGATAGATAGATAGATAGATAGATGGATAGATAGATAGATAGACCGACAGATAATTGATAGATCGGCTCACAGAGAGAGAGAAAGACAGACAGACAGATGGAACACAAAAGACAAGCTCTGTGATATAATAGATAGAATGGGAATGGATTCATAGAGAGGGAGACATGCAGAATACAACCAAACAGATAGACAGACAAACAGAAAAGATGATGTGATAGGCAGTTAAACAGAGTCAGAGAGAATGTATAAAAAGAAGAAAACAAAATGGATAGGTGGATAATAACACTCTGGTGTATATGGTGCAAAGCTCACTGTGCTTAACATTAAAAAGATAACAAAAATACAAAAGGAAGTTTTGAGAGACAGAGACAAGATAGCAGCAGGAAAAATGGCACATAAGAGACAAGTTCAGAGAGATATTACATCTAGAAATAAACTAGATATACAGACAGACAGACAGACAGACAGGCAGGCAGGTAGGCAGACAGACAGATGAGAGAGAGAGATGCAAGGCTAATGTGATATAGCAGGTATACAAGGACACGTACAGACATACAGATAATGCATAGACAGGCAGAAGTGGAATGAGACAAGATAGAGAAATATAGTAATATATATATACAGTGACAAATATGCAAATGTATACATACACAGATAAAGCAAAGACAAACAAAAAGTACATGTATAGATCGACACACTCACATAATATATGTACAAATACAAAGAATGAGAAGCCAAATAACAAGGAGCCAAAATACAGTCAGACAAAATAAACAGACAGACAATCAGAATGCAGATCCAGACAGGCCTGAGACAGGCAGAAGGTGATGAATGAGAAAGAGATAGATAATGTACAATCATGGAAGAAGTGATAGAGGCAGAGACTGACAGGGAAGGCAGAGAAAGAGGCAGAGTATGGCTGGCACTGTTGATTCTGGAGCCATAGTATTAGAATATCCTACCTTCATGTTGAAGGGAACCTTGGAATCCTTTACAAAGCTGTGCAGGAACAGGAAGTGAATAGGAAGTGGAAGGACCCTGGTTTAAGCATTGGAGCTATTACTAGAACAGCCGCCATTTTGCAAATAGTCAGCATTACAACAATGGCTGTTGGGCAATTGGTTTGGGCCGCTAGTGTGATTCGGCCCAAGTCAGCTGTCCCTTTCTCATGCATTAAAGACAGCCCTGA